TGTAGCCCGCTACCCATTTTGCAACTTAGAGGTCTTGAAGGCGAGTTATATGATATCAGCTGGGAGAACCTGTTCACTGTTGTTGGGATACCTATAAAGCAGTTGGCTTCAACCCTATGTGTTTCCCTATTCGGTATCGTGAGTCTTGTCATCCCACCCTTTTTTGTCAGATCTGGAGTCTTTCGTTTTCTCTGTGAGATGAATTTAGGTTCATTCGAGTCAACATGTGGAGTATCTTTAGGAGGACTAATTTTTAAGTGTATAGGTTTAGTCGAATGCGTGTTGTCGCACGACTCACATCTTAGTATATTACTGAGCGAACAGCTGGGACTAAACATGTCGCTATGCTTTTTGGTGACAGTTGGGGTCTGTATCCTATACAAAGGTTTCTGATTAGCAGACTCATCTGGATCAACAGAGTGATCAGCCATTTATGTAATGATGTCATGCTTACTGTTGCAAACTGTCTCTGGCTGGTTATCTACTGTAACACTACTATGCAATCCTATCGCTTCACGTCTTCTTACACGACGTTGACAGGGCGTAAGGTGTGGAGTGACTTTTATACATTTGTATGGAATTAGTGAGCTAATATTTTTCTCGAATCAATAAACAGTTTAGCGTCGTTACAACAGCCAAGCATAAACAGGAAGGGGCAAGTTCATCTGTCTAACTTTTTTCGAAGGCGGATGACTTTGCAGTTAACGTTCAGCATACCTCATGCTCTAAGGCAAATATCCCTCGGCTTAGATGGGTATGTGCGGTTGGGGAGGTTATACGCAACTGCATTGAAGGAGGACATCACTCTTTTCGTCACTTCTTCAGCCACAAACTCCAAAATACACTCAGCTTAATGAGTTGCACAAGATTCCTATCAGTGTCAAGGCCCAATATATGAGTGAGAGGTTCAAGTCTGCCGTTAATTTCGGATAGAGAGTTTTGTAGCTGACAAATGTCAGTACTTTATCTATCAGTATTTTCGTGTGTATGAGATGAACTATTGGACTCTTTAGTTTTTGAAATATTAGATTTAGGACTTGGTAGAACATACTGTCCGGTGGACTGTGTTGACGTTTCAATGCACGTGGGTATAGTGTCTTCTATGTCAACCAGTCTTACCGTTAGCATACTGCAAGCAGAGATGGAAAGGCTGTAACGTGGAGAATCAGGTGATGATAGTGACATTTGTGTACAATACGCATATTGTTCATTCGTTAAAGGTTCCACATTGTCAGTTACTGAGTCGTCAGTCATGCGTGTTACAGATTTGGACCTTTTATTTGGCCTAGAAGTTGGTGAAATTTCTCTTTTACTGGAGTTATTGGCCATGATTTGTATGTATTAGTTTGAAATATTGCTATGAAGGTTTTAATTAATTGCAAAGAATTGTAGCGTGGTGTCGAGTCGCAGTTGACTATGATCACCACTACAAGAAGACTACGTGCCAGTTAACCGATAAGATCCCCGTAGGTCAATATCAGAAGACAGATGATAGCTGTAGTCGAGATGCATTTGCTGGCGATTTCGTGGTATAGAAAGAAAACCGAGATCGTGCCAGATTACAAGTGGGGTTACTGAGCGAAACCGAATCCGTACAAGGTCAAAGTCAACGGGGGAGTAATGGAAGATAATGAAAGAGCGCTACGGCTGTCACTAGCACAGTGAAACAAACGAACACAGTAAAACAATCACTGGTACAATTGGTTATAATAATAATTGTTTTCATTAAACCAATCACGTTCTCTAGATAGAAGTAGGTCACTACAGAATTATCGCCAAATATCAGTCAGTATTGGTCATATATACGTGGTGAAGATAAAATGGATCTGAAAAGTTAATTATGTGTAACACAAGAAAATGTGTTTCAAGTTTTAAACTTAGAAGTTTGGGAATAAAATTTGTGCAGAATGTAAAGCGAGAGGGAAGAGAATTAAAAGAACAATCATGATAGTAATAACACTAATAATAACAAATATGAACACAAGTGGACATCGGACATTTACATGAAACGAAAGGAAACAAAACATAATCAACCAGCATACGAACAAAATTTCAAAGGATTTATTTTGTTTTCTAGTCAATTAAATAAATATCGTGCCTTGTTTATATTTATCATTGGTGAACACACCGACATTTAATGGGCCAAACCAACCACTTTTTGGCAGAAACTCATCAAGAAGACTTTTGAACTGGGTTATAGTTTTACCGTAGCGGACATATGCTGAAAGTATGTTCAACATGGATGAATTGCGAATAACCGGGAAATTTTGGTATAACTTTGTGTAGGTTCTCATAATCGATAGAACATTCTCTTTATTACGCAGGTTTTTAGGTGATACGATAGAGTGGCTGCCAAAGAGTAAGAAATACCATATGTAAGCCGGTAGATAAATATAACGTTTGATTTAGTGCGCCTGATTCAGAGAGGTTCTGACTTGAGGTGTTCACGTCTTTGGTGGAAATTCTTGTTGTCGGGATACTCCAAAACAGCCTTAGTGAACATTCTTCGAACACCTTCAATTCTCATCAAGTCATTATACCTGAAACTACCGCAAAATAGAACACCATATTCAAGGATGAATACATTACGCTATTTATATAATAGTGATCTCCATTGAATATTATCCAATTTTATCGTTGTGAATTCAGTGAACTTTCTTACTTCGGATACTTTAGATACAATATACTCGGAAAAGATTAGACTGTTACTGTAACTCAAACCCAAGTCATAAGCAGTTTTGAGGCAATTTAGTATATGTTTGTGTATAGCCACATTTGGGTTAGAGCTATGGCCAATGTTATTAGATCCACGTTAGTCAACATTCAGTGACAGTCCATTCGTATAACTTGTTTTTGTCTTCTTGGATTACCGCTGAAATATAGTTTTCTTTGGCAGAAGAGAATGAATAAACCATGTTTAAGTCATCGGCAAAAAAGAAAACGTTACCATGTTGAAGGAGTGAGCACGCGTCATTGATAATAAGGCAGAAGAGTAATGAACCAATCGTGAATCCTTGTATAACCTCACTGGTTACATTCGTAGACTTAAACTAGCAAGATACAAAGCGGGCGGTTCGGCTACGTTCTGTTATAAAAGATTTGAGTAAAGATAAAAGAGATTCAGTGTACCAAATAGAAAAAGTTTTAGGAGTTTGTGTGAGACACTGTCGAAGACCTTACTAAAATTGAAGTATGGAATTTCCACTGATTTACCAACATCTCTACTCTGGGTAATTTGATAAAAAAATTCTTAGTGCGATGTGGAGCATGAGAGTTAAATCATAAACCCATGTTGAGATAAGCTAATCAGGCTAACTGGAAATAAGCATGGTAATAACTGTTTGTGAATGACTTCTTTCAGCGCACCATCAGATTTGTTGACCAAACTGCCCCCTCCGGGATATTGCCGCAGTCTTAGAGTTCGATGGTAGTGTTTCGAGAATGAATAATGTACAATTTGTAACTGACGTCCACTGAGATGCGGCCTTCCTCAATTTTCACATCAGGTAGACATAATTCAATGGACCTATCGATACCACTCAAATACAGTCAGTCTCAAGAGACCCTAACTATTTTCCCTAAGAGTTGTCAAGAGGACCCCATAACCTTCCTCTCGTCCATTTTTTATCACATTTCCACTTTCATAGACACCATTAAAATTGCTATTGATAGAACCCAGAGTAGTAGTGATATTTGCGCAACCACAGTGGAGCGTGGGATTACCTTCTCAGACAAACAAGGCTTCTCAACATTCAATATAAGACAATAAGAGATATAATGCCCATACAATATAAGGATGTGAATGAATACTTGAATCCTAGTGTTTTGACATATACTTAGTTGTTAGAGGTCAACTCCTAACCAATTAACCTAAGCTGTTACAACATTGTAACTTAGTGATTTAATGAGTTAGCATAAATGGTTCACAACAGAAGTCAATAAGTAAACACCACAAGGGAAAAATGAACCTTATTAAAACGGCTAATAAATAATCAATAAATCCGGCTTGTTGACAGAGGTCCGTAATACATATGGTAAACGAATATGACATCAGCGTTTTGCTGTAACTTGTAACCTATGATTCAAGACAAGTATAAACGTCCGTTCATAAGAAATCGAAGTCACAGCCTCGATGAGTGGCACCCAAGGTCAGAACTCCACAGATCACGAGCAGCTTAAAGAATTGGGCATATTGTCACGATATACTAACAGTAGAGAAGCAATGAACAAAGCATCACATCACAGATTGAATGAAGTGGCTCAAAATCGTTTGTAATGGAGACATCCATTCTTTATCTTCCTCTAAAATTCGAAATTCCTCGTACCTCTTGTTTTTATTACACGAAACTATACTTTCCCCTCGAATCAGACACGACACAATCTTTTTGATCGCCACTGATACTGTCCACTATTTTGGGATTTGGTTTGACAATTTCATCTCTAATGGCAACTTGGACCAACGCACATACATACAGGGTTTTAAGTTGTGACTGACTGAAGGCATAAAGGTTGGAAGTTTTAAAATCTCTAGAGGTCGATAAAACGCCCTGGAACATTTTATTCAATTGGTGGAATAAAGAATATTTTCAGAAATACATAGGAAAATGAAGGATAAGGCATCACGCCTTAATTGCATAATCACCTACATCGTGACTCTACTACAACTGTATTTCCATAAGTTTCTTGGAGACCACATGAAACTATCAATAAAATGGAATTTTCTTACCTTTGAGTTTTTACTCACATTTCGAGCCTCTTCTTTACTGTTCCGGTTGAAGTGTACAAAGTGAGCAGGAGTTATAGGAAGAGGATAGGCAGTTAGTAGTAAGCGTCTCAGTGGTAGATTTATTATGTGCATATATCGAAATGACAATTTTTCTAAATTCTTACAGTCAATTTTATTACGAATGAACACTTCTTACATGCATGCTTACAAATGATGTGATAGCCTAGATAACTTAGTAGAAAATTGTTTACAATCGGTCGACTGAAGTCACTGAAAATGAACTTTTTGTTAATATTTAAAACAAAGGAAAAAGCTACATTCTATGATTTAGCGATTTATACAATTTTTGAATGTCGTCATTTTACGGGGTTTTTATGGTTACACTGAGATGAAGTGTTAGAAAATGCAAGAAAAAGCTGTATATAAAAGAAATACAAATCACCTAAAACTAATAAGCCAGTAAACAAAGTCTTACTAAGCCAATATTAAAGAGGAATCAAACGTGCAAGTAGGATGGAGAATAGGTATTACAGTAAATTTATTGATAGATATATCAAAAATAGCAACAAACTATATTTGAATGCCGAAACAATATAATGAACAATGTACAAACTAAAATTGTTGAAAAAAAACAGAAAGTAACACATATTGATATTTCACTGGATAGACAGATTCAGTACCTGAAAAAGTAAAACAATTTGAGATTAGACAGTTGTCAGAAACAAAACTTTAAAATACAATAAACAAATGATTTGTAGTGAACAATAACAATGAAATCATAAAGCAAGGTAGTAGCTGAATCCATTTACATTGTAAACAAGGTTGCGAGGTTCTCATTGCTGACAAGAGATATAAAAACATATCAAAAACGAAAACAGAAACTAAAAAAACAAACAATCCAAGATGAGTGCCTGTCCACCATTATCTCATAGCAGACACGGTTGACTCCCACTGGGCACGGTTTCTCACTAGAACTCCAGAAAATCCGTCTTCAAGTCAGTCACTAGTGAGCACATGATAATTATCAATATAGGGTTGTGGAGATTGTTGACTTTAGATTGATATCATGAATGGATCAATGTTACACTACCATTGAAAACCTGGAAGCACTGGATGGCCGTTTCGTCCTAGTGCGGAACTTTCCAGCAGTGCCCATTCACGATCCCGCACGTGGGACTCGAACGCAGGACCTCCGGTCTCCAGATGAACGCTTAACCTCTAGACCACTGAGTCGTGACCGCAGGAGTCAAACAGTGTCTGCTGTAAGGCAATTACTCACTGAAGACAATGGTGGAAGGGAACCCAATATCGTGGATGGGATGAAATCAGAGATTAACGCCGTCGGAAGTCGGCTCACTGGTCTAGAGTTTAAGCGATAAGTCCTACGTGCGGGATGGTGGATGCGCACTGATGAGGAGTTCCGCACTAGGACGAAACGGCCATCCAGGGATTCCAGGTCTTTAATGGCACTGGAACATTGATCCATTAATGATATCAATCGAAAGTTAACAATCTACACAACCTTTAACTGATAATCCTTTGATTACCATACGATGATTGCAGTTACGTACACAACATTTCACGCTTAAATGCTACAAAAAATAAATCTTATATCAGTTATGATAGTACAACTGCAAAGGAAATAAAAGTCATATGATAGAGTTTGGGAAAACTAGTGCACTTTTAGCGACCAATTAGCCACATGAATTGAACCATATGATTGTTTAATTTTTGACAAATAACATAATAAGTGAGTAACTGTATTAATAATACAACAGAAAAAATAATGAAAAGCCATAAAAATTAAACACGAGAGGATTATAGAGAACATATTAGTGATACGGTCTTATATAACGTGAAATGTGAATTATACACGATAACATTTTTCCAATGTACAGAAAAAAACCAATAATAATAATAATAATAATAGTAATAATAATATACTGAAACCAGGTAGTCACCTAGGACTTCGTGAACTGGACCACGTTTAAACCACACCTACTCCGTAACGGCTGACACAACTGAATTATTTATTTACTTGGGCACATACACACCGGCACGAGAGTACCAAATACATACGCGCCACATAATAACAATGACGTTGTGAAGAGATAGAGAACGGATGGTGATTTTAATAAAAGAAGGATGACAACAAACAGGAATCGGTGTATGAGAGTGAAATAATAATAATAATAATAAATATAACCAGGAAGAATTCCTTCAGTCAGAAAAGTTACGCTCACTTTTATGAAGAAAGTAAAACAACGTTACAACAGGATTGCTACCGGCTACTATTCTCAGCCATGTCTGATAACGTTTCTAGCCACTGTTGAACCATCTCTAGGACCCTAACAGAGGGGTCGTTAAAGACCCACACAAGCCAGTCCTGTACAGCTTTCTTTCATGCCACGACACCATGTCATACACTGACCACCTCTCCTCTTTTTCCAACCGTTCTCATCGTCAGCAAATAACGCACGACTTAGAAGTTTCTGGGACGGCACTCGTAGGACATGTCCGAGCCACCGAATTCAAGGTAGTGACACCAAGTGAATAATCGTCGGTGTGCCCAAACACACGATGGCGGACCTCTGCATTACTAACATGTTGCTGCCATTGGATGTCAGCAATCCTTCGGAGACAACGATGATCGAACACAGCGAGTCATCAAAGTTCTCAAACCGGAGGGGCCAGGTTTCACAACCATAGAGTAAAACTAGTCTGAATGGAATGTTGTAGATAAGACCTTTTACAGACAGACTAACACCACGAAGGCGCCAAAGATGGTCCAGATTGGTATAAGCCACTCTGGGTTTTACTATACGAGAATTGACTTCATCACTCACACAGCTACCCAGAGTGAGTGAAGGTTCAGGGCCCTGCCAGTCTTGTAAAAGTAGTTTGTGCTTCGAATGTGCAAAGCACATACCATAACCTATGAACACTGATTGCCGACTGATTAAGAGCAGATTGCATTGCTAGGGTACCATCGCACAGTAGGACAATGTCATCTGCATACTCAAGGTCGAAAAGTCTTTCTCCAGACAACAGATCGGCACCACCATTACCTACACCCATCAGAACTGTTTCCAGAGCACCGTCGAAGGCAAGGTTGAAGAGGAATGGTGAGATAAGGCAACCTTGCCTAAACCCATTGTTTGAACGGAACAGTGGAGAGGGGTGGTTGTATGCCCTCACTCTGCCTGAGGTGTTTGTATACAGGGCTCTCAAGATGTTAGTAGACTTAAACACACCCTTCTTCAATAGACAATCCCAGAGAACAACCCTGTCCAACGAATCAAAGGCAGCCCTGATGTCAAGATACACTGCGATTGTCGGCCTGTGATAGATATAAAGGTGTTCTAACCTTTTGAGGAGGGTGGATATGATGAATGCATCCTCGACCAGGACGAAAATCAACCTGTTCATTGCGAACCAATCTTTCTTGAGTTTTGAACAATCTACAAAGTATGACGGAAGACAATAGTTTGGACGCAATTAAAAGTAGACTTATTCCCCGATAGTTGTAGCAGAAATGGTGTGAACCCTTGTTAAAGATAGGGACAACTGTCAACTCATTCTATGATGTTGGACCACATTCTAATTGTCAAACCTCTGTAAACAACCCAGTCAGTTCCTTGACAAGAAAGTCATCTAGGCCTGGTGATTTATGGCGTTCCAAGATTTGGAGTTCATTGTTTAGGTGTTGTGTATGAATTGACGTTATCGGTATCGAAGAGAGATGACCGTATAAGAGCTTGATTGTTGATCATAGATCCATAAGTATTGTAGGCACATACTGAATCCCAATGACGATGTGCAACATACATTGACCACATATTCGCTTTTACAACTTAATCACAGAGTCCGTAAATAGTGTGCGATGAAAAAGTCGCTAGGATGACATTTGTGAAACGTGACAACTCAGTCAGTCAGTCAGCTGCAACGTAGGACCAACTGATGTTTTAAGATAGCGGATCAACTAAATAATCGCCACTCCACCTGAACACATACTATCGAATGTCAGCATGATTAATATAATATCCGCAAAGACTGAAATACAACAAAGAACCTACTACTACATTATTTATCATGATAGTGTTATAACAGTAGATAATCAGAATCAACGTCGTAAAGTAAGAAATTACAGCCACTACTAACACACTAATGACGGTTTTAGAATTGATGTAAATACTAAAACCTGTCACGCAATTCAACTTTTCGAAACGAACTATCATCGTAGGAAAAGATATGTTTAAAATACTGTAACTAATACCAAGAATGTAGAGCCAAAATCTCAAGAACTTTTCTGGTTGGTCTACGACATGAGAATCAAGATCTAAGATAGAAGAATCGTGCCCCTCATTGCAAACACATACGTAGAAATGTTAGTTAACTCACCCTCAAAACAATGGATAGGCTCTAACAGCAATAAAATTGATTATCGTCTCTCTGTCTGTGATCTCTATATAACTGCAGGTTGGACTGAATACAAGCTGTTTTACAGGAAGCAATAATCTTAGTAGATTTTAACACCCATGTCCGTGTAGGAAAAGAGCCAAATCGAAAAACACTTGGATGGGATATTTGGTGTACCATTTCAACGAACAAATAACAGTGACCGTTTGATGCAATTATGCTTAGGCAACCACTTATTCCTAGCAAGTACAAAGCTTAAGTACAAGAGACATTGTTAAACTAGTGACCCCCAACATCAATATAACGATGGATATAAATAAACTACATTGCCATCGGCTATCGTAAGACAAGTTCGATGGCAAACTGGTACTCGTTTGTAAGTACATAATTGCAATTCACTCATGTCCTAATAAGAACAAGGATTTTTATAGGTTTTGCTAGATGCAGAAAATTTACAACATAAAAACTTACCCCATGATAGAGAAGCTTGGCATAATATCCGAACAGCAGTGATATCTGGCACTAACTTAAATCAAAAAGTAACGAAATACTCCTAAATTTCCTACATCTATTGAACTGATAGACATTGGTAAACTCGTCCTAGCAATCTCAAAGAACGATGAGAAGAGACAACCTGAACGTGGACTAACAGTTGTGGGTCACAAAGGCAAAGGTAAAAGTGATAAACAAAAACAGTCAACTTTTCAGGTTTGTTGAAGAAACGCGTTAACGAGATGTGTGATCTACGTTCAGTCCAGAGGATTGAAACACTTCAAAGTGAAGTCTAACAACTACTCATTTTCCTCAAGGAACCTGAGAGAAAGACATGGGATCCTTGACTACTAACCAAGTTGTTAAGACAATGTGTAACTTGAAGAAGAGTAGAGTAGAAAGGCATGATAGGTTGAGGTGCTAAAGAATGGTGATTCAGTTTTAGCGATTGAGTTGCTCACAGTTAGGGAGAAGGATTCAATCCCATACGACTGGTTTCAGTCGCTGATCGTCCAAAGTTACAATGACCGGAATCCTTTTATGATAATTACAGAGGAATCTGTGTGAATAATACAGTAATTAGAATATTGGTTTCTATAATCATCCGGTGCTCTAAAACAATACACTAGAGAAAATCAGGATGGCTCGGTTTCGAATCTGGATGTGGGTGTCCTAAATAAAAATTCACTTTTCGTCGGATTCTAGAGCTCAGGTACATACGCTTATTTGTGTTGCATCAGGTATGTTAGAGCCTATAGGATTTGAGATATTTAGTTCATCTAATCGATTTGAGTGAAGCAATGACAAATGCCTTTCCAACCAAGTTTCGTTGACAAGTTCACACCATTTTCTCAAAATCTCAAGATTTCATCTCTAGGAAATTTCCAGGATTCAGATACAGTAAACGTTAGTTAACAGAGAAAACTTTCATGAGACTTATTTTAAAATCATTAACTGTGGATTTCTGATTCAGTTAGTCAGTTACAACGCACGACCAGGATTTCTAATTATTTGCACACAAAAGTTGGTACGAGGAGCCACCAAATATATATGCGCCACACTTCATCATTCGACTTGTGTTTGTAGTGGAAAACTACCCGTGCGCCCAAACCAAAGCAAGTGGTTTTCTTAGGGGGTCACTCCCCGGGCCTTTGATCTAGAGGCCTAATACACAAGGCGGTGGATCAACGTTGAGATGCAGTCCCATGGTAGCTGGTGACCAACAATATTTTCATAAGCCGTCTGTCCCCTAAGGATCTAGGAACCCATGTGCATTATCGGTTTGAAATCAGGGTTTTCCAACTCCCTACAATCGACCGTACCAGGGCATTTCCGAACTTCACAGTAAGAAGTTTTCCATAAGCTGCTGCTGAGTACAAGGAGGTAAATAACAACTAGACTAAAACAATATGGTAGTAATGAACAATAGGATGATATATTCAATGAGGATACATCCAGAGAAATTAGAATTGATAGCCATCATATTTCAAGAATGATTCGGAAGAATAACGGAAGTGCCTACAATTTTATCATACACAACCTTAAGAACAAAGTCACTGACAGAAATTTAATGTGGGAAATCTATGAGTCATTTTCCATTGCACCCCGAGTGATAAAGTATTAATATTATAAATAATATAAAGAACAACAAAATAAGACGTACTTGGATAACAGGGGAGAAATCTGCAACTATGATACGATCAAGACGTGTTCCCTCAAAAGCGCTAACTTTTTCACCATGGAATACATTGTAACCTGTAACTTCGGATCCAAGTGTCCAGACGAATATATTTTGATCATTGCCACCACTGATTAAGAATGAATCCTTAAAGATTGAAAGCGAATACAACATAACATAGATAACTTTTATTTTTACGATTAAGTGATTTTAACCAAGTGACTTGGCCACGCTGTTTAAACTTTTAAAATGAATGTTTAATTAGTCAACGGAAGGTTCTGTTCGGTTAGAGTTGAGGATGTTTATCTCTTTGATATTTACTAATTATAACCATTCCAGCACTGTCTATGAACACAGAACAGATGAAGATTATAGCAAAGTTATGTTAAAAGGTTCAGGAGACATCAATCTTATTCTCCACAAGCCATTTTCGATATTTCATGCGCTTTCAAAATTTCACCAGAAACAAGTCAGTTTGTGTATTTACTGGACAAATAATGCCCGTTTGGATTAAATATGAATAATCAGCTTATAAGTCATTTTGTTCCCGACACATTTGATTGCTTATTGAAAAATAATGGTAAACAAATCTAGCGGTATACGATTATACGTAATTAGATATACCACTCATTTACATTGAAGAACTTAGTATCGTGAAGTGACTACGAACCTATTTAGTTTCCAAAATTATTCTTTTATGAATTAACATAAATTCTATGATCAAAAACACCTAAAAATACATAAGCTTAATGCAATAAACATATGGTACAGATATAATCAGTCTAATCAAAATTTCCATAAAAAACATGACACACATAGGATTACTGCTGAGTCATTCTAAATAAAGGAACTGGTTATGTTTATAGAAAATGAAAACGAAAATGTGGTACTACTGGTAATTAATTTAAGCTGTACTTGACTTGAAAAGTATGCCAATACCACCACCATCGTTAGTATGAAACTAAACGTTAAAGTACAATGAATACTTGAATAGATAAATAACACTGAAAATTTAAACTTACATCAATGAAATGAAGAGCCGATACCCCACGTGTGTGACCATAGAGTGACTCTAAATGGTTCAAACGCTTGCCATCACCCGCGAATAATTCAATAGTGCTACTTTCAAGTCCGGCAGCCACAAAATCTCCGGACACTGAACAAGCAACAGAGTGAACCATTGGAGGATTAATTGGCAATCCAGATCTCCACGTTAAATGATTAGATGATATATGGTGATCTGAAACATGTGGTAGTTCCTGTAAAATAATAGTTGACACGTGAAATATCCGAACACTGGAAATATTATTATAAATAGTAATCTGGTAGAAAACGGAATCATTAGAAATCTATACTAGACATAATATGGAAGCATGGAAAGGCAATAATAATAATAATAATAATAATAATAATAATAATAATAATAATAATAATAATAATAATAATAATAATAATAGTAATAATAATATACTGAAACCAGGTAGTCACCTAGGACTTCGTGAACTGGACCACGTTTAAACCACACCTACTCCGTAACGGCTGACACAACTGAATTATTTATTTACTTGGGCACATACACACCGGCACGAGAGTACCAAATACATACGCGCCACATAATAACAATGACGTTGTGAAGAGATAGAGAACGGATGGTGATTTTAATAAAAGAAGGATGACAACAAACAGGAATCGGTGTATGAGAGTGAAATAATAATAATAATAATAAATATAACCAGGAAGAATTCCTTCAGTCAGAAAAGTTACGCCCACTTTTATGAAGAAAGTAAAACAACGTTACAACAGGATTGCTACCGGCTACTATTCTCAGCCATGTCTGATAACGTTTCTAGCCACTGTTGAACCATCTCTAGGACCCTAACAGAGGGGTCGTTAAAGACCCACACAAGCCAGTCCTGTACAGCTTTCTTTCATGCCACGACACCATGTCATACACTGACCACCTCTCCTCTTTTTCCAACCGTTCTCAACGTCGGCAAATAATGTAAGACATCGAATTCTCTGGGATTACTGTCGGTTCCAAGCTCCAGTCAGTCAGTTACTACGTAGGACCAGGCACATACATGCATCAGTCCAAGTTGCCATACCGCATTAGCACAAGATGAACACCGGATTCATAGAAGTAGTTAATTCAGTGGTGGTAATATATAGAAGAAAGAGTGTGTATAAGGAGATAGTACAGGAAGAAAGAATTAGTTCGTAGAAAGAAAGATTTAAAGTGATTTTAATCTCTTAGTTTGAGGGAATACAGAGAGTGTATACACCTACGCCATTGTGATCGATTCTGAGCCATGTCAACCAGTCTCCAACCAATGGTTACGATATTCACGCGGACCCCAACCAGGTAGTCTGCATCTACCAACATGGCTCAGACCAGAAGTTAGTGACTTCAAGCACTGATGCCACGTTTTGATTTATCCGCCCCTATCTTTCTTCCAGTCATCCCTAACACCGGTTAGCGTTGCGCGCCGTGGTAATCGGTGTTCAGGCATACGTAACACGTGGCCCAACCATCTCAGTCGATGAAGGTTCATAACCTCATCAACTGATTTACCATCATTCCCTAATACCCTGCGTCTAACCTCACTATTACTTACCCGGTGATCCCAGCAGATACCAGCAATATTTCTAAGGCATCTGTGGTCAAATACTAGTAACTTACGAATATCTTCTACTCTTAAAGGCCATGTTTGCAGCCGTATAATAGAACGGAACCAACTGCTGCGCAGTATACTCGACCCTTAATTGATAGACGGATATCTCGCCTTCGCCATAGATGACGTAAGTTGGCAAAGGCCAAGCGAGCTTTTCGAATCCGTGCTGAGATTTCGTCAGACACCAACCCATCAGACTTCCAAGATAAGTGAAGTTGTCAACGCGTTCGACTACTTCACTTCCTATCCTTAGTTTCGGTGTTAACGCAGACCAGTCCAGAAGCAACAACTTGCATTTAGAGGGAGAGAAGAGCATCCCAAACATTCTGGCATTGTTGCTCAGTGCTACCAAAAGACTCTGCATTTCATCAGCATCTTCACAAAACAGGACTATGTCATCTGCGTATTCTAAGTCAATAAGTGGACCTCCTGGTAGGAGATCAATACCTGAGAATTCAGTCGATGAGAGCGTTATTTCCATCAGTAGATCTATGATGAAGTTGAACAAAAATGGAGAAAGTGGACAGCCTTGGCGGACGCCACTTGAGGTCGCGAAAGCAGATGACAGTTCGCCATAAGCTCTCACTCGACTAGTAGTGTTCGAGTAAAGAGCTTTCACAAGGTTTATGTACTTCTGAGGTACGCCTTTCAACGACAGACACTGCCACAGAACCTCTCGGTCAACAGAGTCAAACGCTGCTTTAAAATCAAGGAAGACCATTATTGTCGGACGCCGATAAGTATGCCTGTGTTCTAGAACCTGACGAATGGTGAATATGTGGTCGATGCAGCCACGACCAGGTCTGAAGCCAGCCTGATTTTCACGTGTTTGCAGCTCACGAGTCTTAGTTAGGCGTCCGATAATTATCGAGGCTAGTATTTTAGATATTATATTAGTTAAACTAATCCCTCTGTGGTTGTCACAGGATGATTTTGACCCTTTCTTAAATATTGGGACGATAAGTGATTGTGACCAGTTAGATGGGATAACGTCTAACTCCCAGATTTTAGCTAAAATATTAGTCAACCTAATCGCTAAAACTAGACCACCATCCTTAAAGACCTCTGGGGCCAATCTGTCTGGACCAGCTGCTCTTCCTCGTTTCAGATCATCTATAGCCTTTTGAACTTCAGCTAGAGTTGGGGGACCTACTTCAATGTCCCATTCATACTGTCTGGGAATAGAGGGTAGTTGTAGAGTAGCTGAAGGCCAACTGAACTGCTCCTTAAAATGTTCCGCCCATCGTTCTAAACGTCTGGACTGAGAGCAGATGAGAGTGTCGTCTTTTTCGGAAATAGTCTGACTTACACTTGACTTATTAATTCCAGTTTCTTTTATTAGTCTGTAGAATTGTCTTGTGTTCCCTATAGCCGCCGCCTTTTCCATCTCTTCTGCTTTCGTTGCCCACCACTGCTCACGATCGTTCCTTAGACTTTTGCTTAATCTAGATCTGATTTCTTTACGCTCTTCATCGTGTTTAGAACCTGATGGGATGAGTTTACGAGAATCTATCAGTGCAATAGACCTTGAAGAAATCCACTGGTTCTTTGTAACCCTGTGGTTTAAATCACTAGTAGATGTCACTGCTGTTTCCACAGCTGCTTGTATGTCTTTCCAATCAACATCGGTGTCAGACTCCTTTTTCAGAACTACCTAAGTGTGACCTCAGTTGTTCCTGGAACTTTTGGTTTTCTCATTACTCAATTCGGTTCTAATGAGTCTTTTTTGCGTCCAGTGAGGCGCAAGCAGATGGGTGCTCGTATTAGGGCATGGTCGGAGTCCAGGCAGGTACTCCAGAATGAGCGACAATCTTCTATTGACCCTCTCCAACGATGACTGATGGCAATATGGTCTATTTGAGTCCATCGTTGGTTTGGTGCAGGGGGTCGCCATGTTAGACGATGTCTCTCCTTATGCTTAAAATTTGTGTTTGCTAAAAATAAACGATTGTCTGAGCAAAGTTGCAGCAGACGATCACCATTATCTGTTTTCTGTGCCGGAATACTAAAATACCCACCTAAATGTCTTTCTGTTTCGTTAAAGCTACCTACCTGGGCATTAAAGTCGCCTGCTACGAGTACTATGTCTGAACATTTAGCTTTCTGAAGAAGTTCAGAGAGTTTTCTGTAAAATTCATCTTTCACTTCATCTGAACTGCAGTCAGTGGGAGCGTAGGCAGAAACGACGAAAAGGCAACGACGTGTGTCCCTATCCTTCCGAGTTCTTACGGAGCCGTTTAGCCGAACAGCGCATAGACGACTGTTAACGGGGATCCACTCTAATAGCGCTTGTTCCGCCCTCATGCTTAGTGCTATGCCTACACCTGCAAGTCCACGAGAACTAGCCATCGGGTCGCCAGATACACGGAGGGTGTATCTCGTCGGCACTCCGTTTTGCCGAGGTGAGGTCAAGTGAATGACCACACTAGGATCCTGTATGCGTGTTTCGGAGACACAGCACACTCGACTAGTAATTGTGGATAAGTGTGCACATATATAAAAAAAACTGCCCGTGTTTTGTGAGACATGTGATTAACCCACACATTTAAAGAAAATAGGGACACTTATAGACAAGACATTTGAAAGCAGAAGAGGTGGTTTCTTGGTTGAATTGTTCGACTTAAATTCGGGAAGCCATGTAGTATCACTATCTCTCAAAGTATGGCTTAAATCCAAGTACGTGTACACAGTAAAAGAATTACATCAGAAGTCGCCTGATATATGTATATAAGGCAAGCGTGTTTATGACGGATAAGTTACAAATGTCTTTTGACATGGAAATCTAACCTTAGAAAAGATAGTGTTTTGATCATTTCCTCCTCCTCTTACTACCTCCACCACTATGGGATTTGAATCGACAACTGCATCTCTGTTAATGTGGTATAGCAACTCGGACTGATGTACGTACGTACTGACTGACTCTGGTTTATAAGAAAATAGGAACTGTATCCCAGTTAATATCTATTTTTGTCAGGTTCTACGCTGATTATGATTGACTGAAGGTTTATCCTTTACATAAGGATGTTGATTCAGTGATTTTTGAATAGCCAGCATCACTATTAATAAGTAAAAAACATTTCTTCTAGGTGGATGGTTTCAGGAAATTAGAAGTAGAAGATAAAACTGTTGGTTACTATGCTCCTTAAAAATGGGTAAAACAAATTGAAACCTGTTTTTTTTGTAATAAATTATTTTTAGTCTGAAGCGTAGCAATCTGAACAGGTGATGCTGAAGTAGTGGCAACCCTATACATTTATGCGTCAGTGGTTAATTGTATTAATGTAAATCGTAGCATCTCACAAATCAATTACAGGATATCAGACTAACAATCAGTTGATCACGAAACTTACTAGTCATCGCATCATGTATCTTCTGAAAGAGCGAGAGGGGGGAATGACGATAACACTAATCAGTGACACCAGATGTAGCTCATTGGTTCAGCAAATTTGTCAGCTCTAAACCGTAGGACTGACGACAAAGGTGATATTAAATCTTTAACCATGGTGCAACCGTTTTATTCTTTAACTACCCAAAATATACTATTTATACTATGATAACTGTCATTCCGTCGTTAGGACAAGTACATAGAGTAAGAGTGACAGCAAGAAAGTCTCAACATATCAATATACATGGGAGTGCCAAAATGTCATCATAGAAAAATTTACCGGCTGTTGACCAGTGGTTATTACGACATTAAATCGTGAAAAGACAGTGTATGACTTACACGTCGTTCTGTGTGACGCCTTCGTGAATACGAATGGTCGCTAGTAATTCTGAGATGCTCATCATCACTTAAAACAGAGTGTTCGCTTCTGGACTCGGAACCAATCCCAGAGGATGGACTTAAGGAACTACTATCAGCGATAATTTGAGAATGTCCGGTTGCGTAGGTAGCTTCAAAATCTGTATCATTTGAATTATCGTAGTCGATATCCACATTATCATTACTACTTGTGCTTGATCCGTGGCGCCAGTCTGAATCAGTTGGTAAGGACTGTAAGAACTCATCAGGACTTTCAACGATTTCATCCATTTCAAAAATGATCACACCGAGACCAGAACCTTTCCAGTCAGAGACAATAACTCTGCAATCAAGGCCACCACTAACTAATTGCCACGTTCGACCAGGACGAAATTTGGCTGAAGAACATATGTTATCATGTTTCTTAAGAGTACGTGTAACCTGGCCATTATTCACGTCAATAATTTGAACAGCTCCAGAATCATCTGCAGACGAAAGACGATGCTCATCTCCAGAAAAATCAATTGAGTTGATTTCATCATCATTAACCTAGAGTGGAATGGTTACAGTTACAAAACTTAATTTACCTCCCAAGTAACAACTGGCTCAGTCATACGGCGAATATCCCATGAGACGATTTGCTGACCATAAGCGCTGTACAGAATATATGATCTTGCTGAACTAAATTTGAGACTAGAACAATGATCTAGTCTTGGGGCGCAGAGAACGGGAAATTGACTTTGATCCAAAGACCAGAGATATGTATTTCCATCCTCTCCTCCGGAAGCTAAGAGATTATCAGAGAGTGACAGTGCTGTCACTGAATCTGTGTGTCCTAGGGCAGAAGCAAGAGGATTAGGGGTCATCGGACTGCAATGAGAACACAAAACACTAATGAGTAGTTTGTGACAAACAAGGGAGTTTGCGGTGATGGAAGATATAGAATGATGGATGGTTTCCAAGTGAATCCCAAGTTCTTAAAAACACTTTAGATATGTATTCTGACATACTTCTCTCTAAATTCTGAGGCGGCTTCTATTTCCTTTAAAGTCCCAGAAAGACCGACAACTCCTACGCACACAGCAATGAAGGAGAGAAATATCTGAACAATAATCTACATAGGTTATAATTAATGACAATAAACTGATTAAATTACGTCTGTCGGTAACGAGATGTACTCCTGGTCAGTTAGACGAATATATGAACGATCTATATTAGTTAAATAAGGTATGGTCGTTTAAATTATTAAGAGTTTACGCTGTGCAGCTGAGAAAGCAGCGTGTACAAGTCCACAAAGCCCAAATACGAGGGCTAGTCTAGACACATTTACCATTTCACCGCCATCTACGTCTGACCGAAATGACACGTTAGATGCGAATTAACAAAAGGTGATCAAATTCAATGTCCAATACTGCTTCAATTTTTCTGAATATTCTTGTACTCATTTATTTCATAATATAAATCAAAATTGTGTCATTTTAAAATTAGTATACAATAATAGACTTCAGAGTACGAGCCAACCATATCTTATAGTAATATTTATCTGTCCTTGAGTTTGTAACTAGCTGATTGGCTAATTGAAATTATCATTTGTGTTCATAGTAAAATGTAATTGTCTGTGAAATTCATTTTCGTACAATAGATGGAGTCGGAGAACGCTATCAAACGTTCTGGAGTTCAGACTGTTCTGGACCAACTAGGGTTTGGCTGGTATCAGGTTCGTGTTATCATAATTATTGGTATGGCTCAAGCTACTGACACTATGGAAACGTTAATTCAAGCAATTCTCGGACCAACATTACGTTGTGAATGGAATATGAGTTCGGATTATGTTGCACTTCTTACTACCCTTGTGTTTTTGGGTATATCTATCGGTTCCCCGCCTATTGGGTATCTCTCAGATAGGCTTGGACGGAAAGATCTTAATATTCTATGTTGTCTTGCTCTAATCTACATGACGTGGTTGTGTGCTATTTCGCCTACTTACATATGGCTTGCAGTTTTACGTTTCATCTCAGGCTTGTACATTGGTGGTCTACTGACTGCTGGTTGCTCGATGATATCAGAAGTACTACCAGAAAGCTATCAACCTACTGGTCAACTGCTTGTTTGCTTTTTTGATTCATTCATTGCTCTATATGTAACTGGTGTTGGCCTTGGTTGTTCGACATCAAAACTTAGTTGGAGGTTTTTTGTACTTTTCACAACAGCACCTCTTATATTGTGTGCACTTGGTCTGACCTACTGTATTCAAGAGTCACCTATCATTTTAGCTCAATGGGGAAATTATGAAGAATCAGCTAAAGTCTTAGACAAAATAGCAAAATGTAATGATCGTATTCCGAATATTATAGATAAGGAAAATACATATTCATCAAAACCTTATAGTTTCTCCAATTACCTATCAATTATTGACGAAAAACAGAATCATGCAAATACAACTCCTACATTTAAAAATATTATGAAATTTATTTACAATAATTATGCAATTGCAACTCCTTTATTAATCGCTATTAATTTTATCTGGGGAATGATTATATACGGTGCTACTACACTACTCCCAGTTGAGCTACCATCATTGCCAAGAACATGTTTACAGGTAAGGGAACAAATATTTCTTAAGATGAGAATACAAATTTCATTCATTTTTATCATAAACAATTTTGACGTTATTTCCAAGAAATAATTTATCCTGGATACACTGATCTATACATTTTGAGGTTAATGATAGGCACAAACTAAAGAAAAAAATAACGAAAAAAAAGTGACACATTCGAAAAGCTGTTTATTGTGCTACTTTTGATTCACTCTCAAAATGCACAAATATATGAAAGTAATACTAGTAAATGATGCGTAGTTTTCGAACTATTACAAAATCATACAATAACTGCTATTTATATGTATGCTATAAATATGACTAACTCATTGATGTTTTAAATCGAAATTGAGTGTAAAGACTTAATCAATAATGAACATGGGAAAATTGTTCAGTTAATCCATTATGCTAGGGTTAATATAATCATACTTAGTTGCCTTGATAAGAATGGGAGGAAAATCTTATTTCAAACATGAGATTCATTGGTTAAAATCTGTGTAACAATAACACAGAAACGAATCAATAGTGGTGTTAAAGTGACTTTGAAAGCACAAAGTCACTTTTTCACTTAATGAACAGAACTTATATAAATCGAAAGTATTTTTCAACAGAAACAATGAAGCCGGTTACAGTTTAGTGATTTTAGGAATCTCATATGATTTTCAGGGCTTATTATCTATCTTTTGCTTTTAACACCGTAAGAACATAGAGTTTATATAAAGTTTATTATCGGCAAAGTAAATTGAAATATTTTTATTGTTTTCCATGTAAGATTTATTTGTTCATTTTTTAATTTCACATATAATAAAAGCTTTTTTATTTCGATTGGGTGTTGAGAATATAACCGCTAAGTCACTGCATAATTATAGAATAAGTTCCGAGATTCAAACCATGTTGTATCAACTACAATTCTGGCAAATATCTAGTATTGTTAACTCTCATACATTTTATTTTTGGAACGTTTAGTGTCTATTCGTGAATTATATTGCATATACTTGATAACTACATGTTAAAGACAATTTCCATCACTAATGATAGCAACTAAACATACGTTTAATTCCATAATACAACTAATGACCAGGTATTTATCAATGATTAGGTATAGGTTCATACTGAGTCTTCCATTTCCGATTTTAAACACGTTATCATATGGTAAATTTATCGAATCTGATGGTCAACATTTTCACAGAATTCATAAGTTTTAATATTGTTTAGTTAGAATTTTAATAGCTGATGCAGCTTGCCTTTTTACTGATTGAATCTCTACAAATCACTAAAATGAATTCATATCCTTTGTTTCATCACTTCTTCACATAATTCACACAATATCCGTAAATATTTAACAAAAGATTGATTTGTATTATAGAGAGAAAAAAGATTTAAACTCATTTGGGTGTTTTTTTATACTTCTAAAGGTTTATGAGTAAGTATTTGGCTTCGTTTATTTTCGTTTCACAGACCGATTATAGTATGTGATGCATAAGCAATTTGTCTTAAAATAATTTGTAATTAAATTGATGATTTTAGTATACCTTGTTACAAAATTATTAGATATTATAGTTGTTTTTTAAGTGTTCATTGTTTCATACGTAATCATCCTATCTAATAATTTAATTAGATGTCATACTTTGAATTAATCAAGATCAACCTAGAAACAATAATAATTATTATCTATAATAAATGTGCATACTTTACATCATATTAGTGGAGATTAGCAGAAAACCGATGACAAGTATGGGAGTAATATGAAGTGGTAGAAAAGATGAATATTCATGTTATTAAATGTGAAAATTATGGACAAAAAAATGTTTAAAGCACATGGAGACACGTTTCTAGAGAATGAATATTGAACTTACTTACTTACTTACGCCAGTTACTCCTCGTGAAGGAGCATCGGCTGCTCACCAGCGTTCTCCACGCAACCCTGTTCTGGGCAATCCTTTCCAGTTGTTATTCATCCTTTTCATAACTGATTCTATTTCTCAACATATGTTCTTTGGCCTTCCTGTTTTTCGCTTCCCTTCAGGATTCAAATGTTAGGGCTTACCACATGATGCAGTTTGATGATTTGCGTAATATATGTGCCATCCATTTCCATCGTCTTTTCCTAATTTCCTCTTTAGCTGGAAGCTGGTTTGTTCTCTCCCACGGTAGGCTGTTACCGATGGTATCCGGCCAATGGATGTTGAGTATCTTGCGTAGACAATTATTTATAAATGCTTGCAGTTAGGTAATAATGAACATGAAATTTGTTAGAATAACAGAGTAAGGTGAGTGAAGCTCAAAAAAAGAAAAAAAGGAATTTGATATTGCGGTATGAAATGGGAAATTACGTAGTCAGATAATGAAAATAAAAGGAACTACAATAGTGAAAGATTTACAATTCTACCCTTTTAAATAAATAAGTTTGGTTTAAACTTTTTGACTATTATGACCTCGTTGTAACATAGTAGATTCGAAGTTGTTTGGGTATTGATTATTTTGAACGATTTTAAAATATCAACCCAGCATCCACTTTATGATACTTCCACGCATGTTTTCATTATTCTACTGATTTTCACCACTATAACATAAAGTATGTACATTCGTAGTTATTACTATTATATCTAGGTTGTAAGCAACTGGCAAGAATCTATGAAATAGACGAATTAAACTTATTCTACTATACTCATATTCTTACTTTATTAAAAGTTATCAATGGGAAAAGCTGGATCAATGTTATACTGCTAATAATATGTACATTTGAAAGATTCTGAATAAGCTTTTGGGCTATAAAATAACATGATGAATTTCTTACCACGAAGTCAATCTTGACCCCAAATGCTCAATGTTAATATTTCATGCTGTGATGCAAGTCAGAATCCCTTTAGGAGAACTGTTCTTATCAAGAACAAAGGTACTTCTTGTTGAAGAATAATAATTAGTGCTATGTTCAGGTCTAAAGTTTTCTCATACCATCTCATATTTTGTTACAATATAAGTGTTTTCTCTTAAAGTATTTTATTTTTCAGTTTACCTTCTTAATTGTATGTTTCTTCTTCAGTTTAATGATTATCGACAAATATTATCGATTTGTTTATCAATTTTGTTTTCCTGGAAAGAAAGGCTTTATATATATCATTTGCGTATCCCATAAACAATATATGGGTGTAACATAGTAATTTTTAATTAATTTAACAAGGCAAATTAGAAAAATAACATCATAACTCATGCGTACAATTTTGCTTTTTATTCACATCTCTGTTATGAGAAAGCAGTGACATTTACTGA